AAGGATTGGGCTGCGTTTAGGGCATGCTCTTTCTTCTGTAGGTGTCTTTTCTCAAAAGATAAAATCCCAAGGACAGGCCCTCAAGACAACATCTCGTAATGTGCAATAATCATTGTATCAACAAATGGAAATCTCATATTGGCCCCCAAAGAAAGCCTTATCTACCCTTTACTAGTCAAGAATTAAATTATGGCTTATAAGTAAGAGTATGTCCTTTCCACAACGATATGCCTTTTATTTTATAAAATATAAAATTATAAAAATAAGTTTTAAAATAAATAATATCTAGTATGAGTTATTTTTTTAAAAAATAAAATTATAAAATTTAGTCTCAAAACAAACAATACCTTGTAACCAGACGTTTTAAGAATCTTTAGATTAGCAAAATTTATATGATGAAAAGGAGTTATATCATTCTCATTATGTAATGTCAAATATTTATTTATTAAAAACAACATTCAGTTATACACAATAAGGAAGTCTAATCCCTTAACCGAATTAGCTGATGGCATATTTGGTATAGAGTAATTACTCAAAATCTATGGTGATATGCACTTATGATTAGATCATCGTGTTTGGTAAGAACTTGATAATTTTACGTAATAATGATTTAGGATTATCGAGAGTGATTAACTCACTATCTTGAAAGATTATCTAATTCCCATTCGAAAAGGTAGGAAACTTCTTTCACTAGGGTGAAATAATCTATAAATTATGACATTAGATCATCATTAGGATCTTCAAAATGATGGTAAATGCTGCAGCTTATAAATGTACTATTCGGATATTGCTCCAAACAATTTAAAGATCCACCTTGTAAAAGCTCTTGCAAAAGGTGAAAGCGGGACTGGGACAAGAAAGGGAAGGGAAAGGGGGGAGCCGATTATAGAATGTAGAACTCACTGTTATCGGATCATTGCTCATTGCTTACAATTACATAACACGTATTTAGCATTTCTTTTATAATTTAGTGTTACACACACATACACATATATATGGTGCATAAATTTTTGTTTATTCTTATTATGCTCGTCATCATTCTCATATGCCTTTGTGAAGGATGTCGCGCCACACTCTCACCCAATTCTATGTATTATTGTAATTATAAATAGTTTTTTTTTGTTTTTTAAATTAGGGAAAAGGAGATTCGAATTCTATTTTTTAAGTAAAGAGATCATACATCAACTAATGAGCCAAATACTAGGGTGTATCTTAAATATAAATAGCTTATGTTATATTCTTCAATGAAATGTTAAAGTGAAAAGCATTAATTTTTTTAAATATTTAATTTAGCTATAAATTGTATTAAGCACATTGCATGAAGAGGACAAAAAGACTTTTTCCCCTCCTAAAAGTCGCCATATCATCTTTGCACTAATGCTCCCTTTTTCTACATATGCATTCATTTTGATGTCCGAACATCACTTTCATTCTTCTTTCAATGTCTAGAGTCTACACATCACTTTCATTGTTTTTAATTGTCCGTATGTTTAGAATTAGTCATCTTTTAAAGAAAACTTTATTAGGCAAGACTTATGTCTAGACATCACTTGTATTTTTCCTTGTCTTACTCTTTATCTATACTTTTAAAAGATTTCCACACACTTCCATCCTACCCTTGTTAATCTTCTCTCCACACTAGAGACATGGTTATCTCAATCCAACTTTCCTTACTTGCCACAATTGTAGATTCTTTACATCAAAAGACATTCATTATTGATTTAGTCATAAACCAAATGATCCATTAATGTAAATAAGGTTGCATAACAAGGTTATCACATATAGCAAGTTTCCACAATCAACTAAGCATAGTTCTATAAGAGTCAAGTTTATGCCAAAAGGATGCTTTGAGCTTGAGCATCGACTAGAATAGCTTGGTCTATGTCGCACGTTTGCCTTTACTTTTATTAAGTAATTAAGTACACAAGTCATTATGCTCCACAATTGTCACAATTATGAATACTCAATTAATTTATTTAGAGACCAATTATTACTAGTGGTTGAGTCAAGTTTTTCAGACGTTGGAAATATAGTCAGAGGCGAGATTGGGTGCAGTCAAGTTCATCAGTTTAGGT